ACAGCAAGTTACTGAAGAAGTTACTGTAGAAGAAAAAGGTAAACGTCCCGTTACGACGGTGACCGAAGGTCCAGTAGAGGTGGTTGTTGAAGAAATTGTATTACCTCTAACACTTCCCGAGTTTGTAAAACCAAAAGATGTGGAGGAAGTTCGAGAACAAGTGTTAGTCACGGAAGAAATTGTGGAAGGGAAGGAACCGAAGAAAATCACGAAGAAGAAAATTATCAAGCGCAAGGGACAAAAGCAGCAAGTAACTGAAGAAGTTACGGTGGAAGAAAAAGGTAAACGTCCTGTAACGACTGTAACAGAAGGGCCGATAGAGGAGGTCGTCGAAGAGACAATATTACCTCTACCACTTCCCGAAATTGTGAAACCAGAAGATATAGAAGTTCGAGAACAAATCACAGTAATGGAAGAAAAGGTTGATGGTGAGAAGCCGAGAAAAATCACAAAGAAAAAAGTTATTAAACGTATGGGTCGAAAACAACAGGAGATCGAATTAATTGTCGTGGAAGAAGAAGGTAAATTACCTGTAACGACAGTAACCGAGGGCCCTGTCGAAGATATTGTTGAGGATACAGTAAAGGCTTTACCACATGGAGAATTTGCCAAGCCTGTTGATATTGGAGAAATTGTTGAGCAAATTGATGAAAGGGTAACTATTGATGAGGAAAAGCGGCCGACAACAATCATGACTGATCAACATGCAGACACTACAGAAATACACGATAAACCTAAACACAAAAGATTGACAAAACACAAAATCGATGAAACAATATTAAAAGGTAAGCTTTTTTATTGCTTATTACAATCAATGACGCTTGCATTCAGTTCGATAGGATATTTATTCGAAATGTCTAAACAGACTTTTATACGAACATGAAAACAGAACAGAAAGAACAAAGACAAGACGATGTTAATTGCTGACCTATTATGTTAATGTACTTTATATATTAATAATGTACTTTATATATTAATAATATACTTTAATATTACAACACTAATATTATCTAAACGTTGAAAAATATCATCATTTTATAAAGTGTTTTTTTTTATAAAAATTTCATGTAAATTTAATTCTTTTTTCTTTTTGCAGGGACAAAAGAGAAACCGATTTATCAGGTAAGATGAAATATAAATTAATTCTATTTAATATGTTATATGACACAATATTATACGTTTTCAGGAACAACCGGCAAAGCATGAAATTCCAGCAGAAGAGGTGAAAGAAATAGTAGCAGAAGAAACAGAGAAGCAACAGGCTCAACTTCTAATAGAAACAGAAGAATCTGCGAAAGTTACGAAAATAGATGTTAAGAAGGCACCAAAAGAAAAGAAAGAAAAGACGGTCATTGAGGAAGAGGAAGTGATTGAAACTATCGAGACACCCACACAAAAAATTATTAAGAAGAAGAAACTACCAAAAGAAGAGGATAAGCTCGTAGAAACAGTCGAGGAAGTAGAACAAGTAACTGAAATCCTTGAAACACCAACAAAGAAAGTTATAAAAAAGAAAAAAGCGAAAACTCTTGATGATAATGTCCCAGAAGAAATTATTGAAGAAATTGTCATAGAGAAACCAAAGAAGAAAAAAGCTGAAACTACAATTTCTCCGAGAGAAAGTATCGAAGTGACGCAGATATTAACAGAATTGCCCATTATGAAGTTAACAGAAGGCAAACTTAAGCCAGAAGAAGCTGTAGTGCATGCAATTGAAGAGGAAAAAGTTACGTTGCAAAAAGTGACAAGAGAAGAAACAAGCACGATTCCTACTCAAGAAGAAGTAACTCTTGAAATTAGTAAAGAAATGATAAGCGAAAAACCAGAAGAAGAACAAGTACAACCGACGATTATAAAGAAAAAGGGGCTCAAAGTCATCGAGACAATTTCGGAAACAACAACAGAAGGACTTCCTGAAAAATTAAAACCAACGAAAGAAAAAGCAGTGCCAATCGAAGAAGTAGAGCAACAAGCTGACATAAAAGAGGTTACTGTAAAGAAAGCACCTAAGAAAGTTAAACCAAAACGCACGGCTGAACAACAAGTTGAAGAAGAGGTTGTTGAAGAAATTGTTTCAAAGAAACCTATAAAAGAAAAAGCGAAAAAATTAATAATTGCCCATGAAGAAATAGAGACTACTGAAACTGTTCCTGAAATGGCGGTCGACAAACTCGATGAAGACAAGAAACCGGAAGAAAAACAAGCTGTACCTATAAAAGAGACAGAAGAAGATATACAATTAACAGAAATAATGGTAAAGAAAGCGTCAAAAAAGAAAAAAGCTATAGAAACGAAAGAGGATAGGCCGGATGAAACAGTTGAAGATATTGAATTGAAGAAACCTAAGAAGGAAAAGGCTAAGAAAGATATAACGTTAAAAGAAGGCATCGAGATAACAGAAGTGGCAGCAGAAGTAACACCTGAAGAACTTATATCAGATAAAATACCTACTGAAAAGAAAGCAAAACCGGATGTCGCCCCGGTAGAAAGTATTGAAATTACTGAAGTTACCACGGCTATGGCAAATGGCGAGGTATTGGAAAAGAAAAAAGTAGAAACGGCTAAAGTTGAAGTAAAGGATGAAAAGGAAAAGAAATTAACTCGTGCTAAAAAAGAGAAGGTTATTCCAGAAAAGAAACCTATCACTGTCGAAGAAAAACAAGAAGAGGAAAAAGTAGAAGAAATGTTACCAACAAAACTTAAAAAGGAAGAAACAAAAATAAGTGAAGTTCTACCAGATACTATGAAAGCAACAGAGATTACACCGGAAACTAAGATTGCAGAGATTCCAGAAAAGAAACGACCTGAGGATAAACCGCAAGAAGAGATACTGCCAGTAGAAACGAAAAAAGTTGAAAAACCAAAAGAAGAAATTATCCCTACTACAGAAGAAAAACCAATTGATGAAACGACCGATAAAATAAAAGAGAAGAAGATTGTCAAAAAGAAGAAAAAGAAACCCGCTAAGAAAGATGAAATAGAGGAATGGGTAGAACCCGAATACGAAAGACCCGTATTAGAGCCGATGCCTGAGAAAATTCAGTGGGAGCCAACGAAAAAGAAGAAGGAAAAGAAAATATTACCTGAATCTATGCAAAAATTAGTCCCGCAAAAGATCGAAAGAAAAGAAATCAAACCTACAAAATTAAAATATACTGAACCGGAAGAAAAAGTTCAATTTGGATTGATTAAATTAAAGAAAGTAACAGTTGTTAAGAAAAAAGAAATCAGTGAACCAAAATTCCCTAAAATCATGTTGCGTAGCAGAATCACATTCATCGGTGACTATCCGCCAGAATTACAAATACCACAGATTACATATATCGAAAAAAATCCGGTCCAAACTGGTATTCTGTCTAGGAATACAGAAGAAGCTTTAGAAGTTTTAAAGAAAAAATACAAAAAGCGTAAGATATCAGAGAAAGAATTAACTGAATTAGAGAAATTGGAGAAGGAGTTTGAAGAGCTGAAGAAAGTTCCTCTTGAAAAAATAGAAGATAAATCTGTTTACGAACGGGCACCGAAAAAGCCAGAAAAAACACCAGAAGAACCACAAAAACTTGTTATAGGAAAAGGTGAAGTAAAACAAGAACCTGAAGTTGCACCAGAAGAGGTTAAACTAAAGAAAATTCCGGAAAAGAAACCAGAGGAAATAACGGAAATTAAAAAGAAACCCAAAAAGAAAGAAACAACAGAAGAGGTGCCACAAAAGGAAAAAGAAAAACCCAAAGAAGCATTAGAACACGATGAATTTAAACCATTAGAATTTGATAGACCAGAAATTGAGAAATATGTACCTGAAGAATTTGAGAAACCAGAAAAACCAGAGCCTGAACCTGTTCCAAAACCGTATGAGAAACCTAAGAAAAAGAAGCCCGAACAAGAAATAGAACAAATTCCTATAGTAAAAGGAATACCGAAACCAAAAGAACCAGAAGATGAGCCTGAAGTAAAATTCAGAATACCAACGGCAGAGAAACCGGAAGACGAACCCGAAACAATAACTTTGAAACCCTGGAAGAAAGATAAACCCGAGAAGGAGGATGACATAGAATACCCAACATTAGAAAAAGACAAAGTTCCGACAAAACCAGTAGAAGATGTAGATGAAGTTACCATAAAGCAAAAAGTAAAACCAAAGAGACCTAAGAAAAAACAAATAGAGCCAGAAGAAATTACCGAGGAAATTACCTTAAAAAAGACACCCGAGGAAAAACCAGAAATTCCAACAAAAGAAGTTTCAGAAAAAGTGCCATTACAAAAACCAAAAGAACCTATCGAAGAAGTCGCAGAAGAAGTGACGATTCAGAAACCGGTCGTTGAGGAAAAGAAAGAAGAAATAAAAGAGATAACTGAAGAAGTCACGTTGAAGAAGAAACCGAAGAAAAAGCCTGTTACGGAGGAAGCTGCTGCCGAAGTCACTGTAAAGAAACCCATCCCAAAAGAGGAAGAACATGTGCCGGAAGATGTATCTGAGAAAATTGAACTAAAGAAACTGAAAGAAAAACCTGTGAAAGAAGAAGCCGCAGATGAGGTAACGGTTAAACCGGTTGTTGAAGAAAAAGTAGAAGAGGTGACTGAAATTACTGAGGAAGTCACATTAAAGAAAAAACCAAAGAAAAAGCCTGTCCCTGAAGAAACGGTTGCCGAAGTCACTGTACAGAAACCTATTCCAAAAGAAGAAGAGCAAGTGCCGGAAGAAATAACTGAGAAAGTGGAATTAAAGAAGCCGAAAAAGAAACCCGTCAAGGATGAAGTTGCAGATGAGGTAACGGTTAAGAAACCAGTCATTGAGGAAAAGAAAGAGGAGGCAGAAGAAATCATTGAAGAAGTCACGTTGAAGAAGAAACCGAAGAAAAAGCCTATCGCGGAGGAAGTTGCTGCCGAAGTCATTGTAAAGAAAGCGATTCCGAAAGAGGAAGAAATACCGGAAGAGGTATCTGAGAAAGTAGAATTAAAGAAACCGAAAAAGAAGCCCGTCAAGGAAGAAGTTGCAGATGAGGTGACGATTAAGAAACCAGTCCTTGAGGAAAAGAAAGAGGAGATAGAAGAAATCACTGAGGAAGTCACATTGAAAAAGAAACCAAAGAAAAAGTCTATCCCGGAGGAAACTGCTGCTGAAATCACTATGAAGAAACCCGTTCCAAAAGAGGAAGAACAAGTACCGGAGGAGGTATCTGAGAAAGTAGAATTGAAGAAACCGAAAAAGAAGCCTGTTAAAGAGGAAGCGGCAGATGAAGTAACGATTAAAAAACCTGTCGTTGAAGAAAAGAAAGAAGAGGTAGAAGAAATTACTGAGGAAGTCACGTTGAAAAAGAAACCGAAGAAAAAGCCTGTCACAGAGGAAGCTGCTGCCGAAGTCACTGTAAAGAAACCAGTTCCGAAAGAAGAAGAACAAGTGCCGGAAGAAGTAACTGAGAAAGTAGAATTGAAGAAACCGAAAAAGAAGCCTGTTAAAGAGGAAGCGGCAGATGAGGTAACGATTAAAAAACCTGTCGTTGAAGAAAAGAAAGAAGAGGTAGAAGAAATTACTGAGGAAGTCACGTTGAAAAAGAAACCGAAGAAAAAGCCTGTCACAGAGGAAGCTGCTGCCGAAGTCACTGTAAAGAAACCAGTTCCAAAAGAAGAGGAGCAAGTACCAGAAGAAGTAACTGAAAAAGTGGAATTGAAGAAACCGAAAAAGAAGCCTGTTAAAGAGGAAGCCGCAGATGAGGTAACGATTAAGAAACCTGTCGTTGAAGAAAAGAAAGAGGAAGTAGAAGAAATCGCTGAAGAAGTTACGCTGAAAAAGAAACCGAAGAAAAAGCCTGTCACAGAGGAAGCTGCTGCCGAAGTCACTGTAAAGAAACCAGTTCCAAAAGAAGAAGAACAAGTGCCGGAAGAAGTAACTGAGAAAGTAGAATTGAAGAAACCGAAAAAGAAGCCTGTTAAAGAGGAAGCGGCAGATGAGGTAACGATTAAAAAACCTGTCGTTGAAGAAAAGAAAGAGGAGGTAGAAGAAATTACTGAGGAAGTCACGTTGAAAAAGAAACCGAAGAAAAAGCCTGTCACAGAGGAAGCTGCTGCCGAAGTCACTGTAAAGAAACAAGTTCCAAAAGAAGAAGAACAAGTGCCGGAAGAAGTAACTGAGAAAGTAGAATTGAAAAAACCGAAAAAGAAGCCTGTTAAAGAGGAAGCGGCAGATGAGGTAACGATTAAAAAACCTGTCGTTGAAGAAAAGAAAGAGGAGGTAGAAGAAATTACTGAGGAAGTCACGTTGAAAAAGAAACCGAAGAAAAAGCCTGTCACAGAGGAAGCTGCTGCCGAAGTCACTGTAAAGAAACCAGTTCCGAAAGAAGAAGAACAAGTGCCGGAAGAAGTAACTGAGAAAGTAGAATTGAAAAAGCCGAAAAAGAAGCCTGTTAAAGAGGAAGCGGCAGATGAGGTAACGATTAAAAAACCTGTCGTTGAAGAAAAGAAAGAGGAAGTAGAAGAAATCACTGAAGAAGTTACGCTGAAAAAGAAACCGAAGAAAAAGCCTGTCACAGAGGAAGCTGCTGCCGAAGTCACTATAAAGAAACCAGTTCCGAAAGAAGAGGAACAAGTACCAGAAGAAGTAACGGAAAAAGTGGAATTGAAGAAACCGAAAAAGAAGCCCGTCGTAGAGGAGGCTGCAGACGAAGTGACCATTAAGAAACCTGTCGTTGAAGAAAAGAAAGAGAAAATAGAAGAAATCACTGAAGAAGTTACGCTGAAAAAGAAACCAAAGAAAAAGCCTGTAACAGAGGAAACTGCTGCCGAAGTCACCGTAAAGAAACCTGTTCCGAAAAAAGAAGAGCAAGTGCCAGAAGAAGTAACTGAGAAAGTAGAAATAAAGAAACCGAAAAAGAAGCCTGTCAAGGAAGAAGCCGCAGATGAAATTACAATTAAGAAAGCTGTTGTGCAAAAGGAAGAGGAAGAAATTATTAGCGAAGAAGTTATCCTTAAAAAGAAACCAGCTAAGAAAGCTCCTGTACTGGAGGAAGTTGAGGAGACGGCCGTAACGATAAAGAAAAAGGAACGTATTCCGGAGGAACCTAAAGAAGAAGAAGAAATATCTACAGATGTCTTATTAAAAAGGAAGAAACCAACACCGAAAGTTGAGGAAGTAACTGCAGAGGAACTGACTATTCAGAAAATTGTGGAAGTAGAAGAACCGGAAGAATTGGTCGAAGAATTCACGTTGAAACGTAAACCACCGAAGAAGGCACCGAAACCGATTGAAGAAATTTATGAAGATGTTACTTTACGTAAATTACGACCAAAAAAGAAACGGCCGGACATCAAAGAAATAACTGAAGTGGAAAACGTGACATTTAGACCGCGCTCTACAAAAACGAAAGAGGATGTGGAACAGGAGTTTAAGATCTCTTTAAATACATACGAAGAGGAAGATATTTCTATGTCCGGTAAAGTCCGTCTAAAGCCAAAGAAACGTCCGCTTACATATTCCGAAGAGACCGGAGAAGAAACGATCAAAATCGTTCAAGAAATCGAGGACGATTCCGGACCGGTCGAGGAAATTATTGATGAGTCAGAGGAGGAAGGTAAAGAAGAATATAGTGTCGAAGAGCTTGATGTTGACGAAATGAGAATACCGTTAAGACGACGCAAGAAGAAACAGAAGGTTCCGTACAAAGTGGAAGAGTTTGAAGAAGGTGACGTTAAAGTGCAATTGAAACGCGATAGGAAATATTCATACGAAGAAACCGATGCGGAATCTTTGGCGCTGAAATTGAAAACCAAGAGACGCGTCTCGACGTTTGAAGAAGGTTTGATGAAGTCTATATACGTACATTCGTATATATTTGCAAATAATATTTATTTAACATGCTAATATAACGATTAATACACTTTCAGAAAGTTATTCAAATTCTCTTGACGAGATGAATGAATAAGTTCTATCCTTATGCTTTACCTTCCTTTTCCTTCACCTGACTAGCGCGCGTCTCCGTTTAAAAGAAAGCTTCTTCTTACCTGCGTCTAAATTTTTTTCCATTAACCCGCTGCGTATGAAAAGCATATCGGTAATAGACATTATATCTCATTGTCGCGTTGCATAACAAAATATCGATCAATTCATTTGTATAATTATCGTAAAACCATGCATCTTCAAAACAAAGTAGCACAAATCCGCGAGTAGAAAGATCCTGCTGACACAACTGCTATATGCGTCTAAAAGATATCTCACTATGCTACAATCGTATTAAGCAAGCGTGCTACGATCAACATTTACTTTATATTTATATAAAACATTGCAGAAGAAGCTTCTCTCAGCATTACTAAGGAAGAGGAGATCTCCGAAGAAGGTTGGTTACCGTTCGTTAGGAATATTTGTTTAATAAAATTGTATCACGTTTCACTTTGATTAACTTTATTCATGACTTTTAGAATATGTTGTACGTGATGGTGACACAATGTTCTCAATTTGTTCTTACGAGGCCGAAACAGACGAAGCTATTAATTTGGTTGAAGGAGAAAAAGTTTATATTATCGGTAAGTTTTCTACTTTTCGTATGATCAATATTGACGTCGCAATAATTGCAATCGTGATTAATAAACATCTGCGAAACATTTACTTTCCAATAGATCATACCAATCAGGATTGGTGGTTTGTGAAAAAGCACTTGACCGAGGAGAAAGGCTGGGTACCAGCGCAATATCTGCTAAATGAGGTGCATTACACTATTTACTTGCAAAGAAAACTGCACGAAAAGATCGATAGATTGCCAATTTTCGAGAGTAAGTACCTAATACGAAACAAAATTAGAGCAGCAACAAAATTCACCAACTAAAAATTGCAACTTAAAATTTGACATAAGCTTCCGAAACATTTATATCACGCGTCTCATATTTTTTTTCTTTTCTCTCTTTCTAGAGCCGGGCCCAGGAGAAAAAGCGTCAGCTCCAAGGTTCATCGAAAAATTACAACCGATTCATACGCTGGACGGATACACTATTCAGTTCGAATGCCAAGTAGAAGGCCTACCAAGACCGCAAATAACATGGTTCCGCCAGACCGCTATTATCAAACCATCTATCGATTTCCAAATGTATTACGACGAGGATAATGTTGCAACCTTAATAATCAGAGAAGTCTTCCCGGAAGACGCCGGTATGTTCACTTGCGTCGCGAAGAACGCTGCAGGTTTCGCGTCAAGCACTACTGAGCTCATCATCGAGGCACCATTGTCGGACCACGGATCGGATATTACTGGTCCATCGAGAAAAAGTCTTTCGAGGTACATATTTCGCAAAGCTTATTTGAAAAAGTTGCGTCAACGAAAACGAAGAAGATTACTTAATAATTATTACTATATCTTTTTCTATTACTACTAAAATAATAATTATTACGATACTTAGGGAATCGTCTCTCGCCGATATATTGGAGGGCATACCACCCACGTTCTCTCGGAAACCAAAGGCGAAATACGTGGACGAAGGTGATGATGTGTTGTTGGAATGTCGACTGGTCGCTGTGCCGGAGCCAGATATAACGTGGTATTTCAAAGATACCCAAGTGGTCAGCCAGCAAAACATCGTGGTCGCGACCGAAAGCGACATGCACATGTACTGCAGCATCGTGAAAATCAGCAAGGTTCAAAAGAAACAGGAGGGAAGGTATAAAATCGTCGCCAAGAACAGAGAGGGCGAAGCCAGTATAGATATTCCTGTAAAGGTTGGTTGACAATACGAGGTCACACCTATAAGAATCATCTCTAAATGTAAGTGTTGTGTGTGATGTAACTTGCTTTTTTCACGAAACAAACAGGTAAAGACTGGGAAGAGCGAGCCGCCCGAAATATTGGAGCCATTACAATCTTACGTAATCAAAGAAGGCGAGACCGTCGTCTTGTCCACTCAGATAGTCGGCAATCCATCGCCTAAGATAACATGGTATAAGGACGGGAAGCCAGTAAAAGGCTCGCAACCGAAGCAGGACAGACACGTTAACACATTGAGCCTGATCCAGCCTCAAGTAGCAGACACTGGGGAATATTCGGTCGTTGCGGTCAATGATATGGGCAAGGCCGAAACGCGAGCTACACTGACCGTCGAAAGTAAGACATCAACAATCAAAAAAAGTTCGAATTCATAATTGCAGCTCTTCGTTCGCATTTAATATTACAACGCTTCTCTTCTACGCTGTCTTAATTTGTTTTCTGAAATATCAATTGATTATTAGCATCCGCTATCGTGCTAACCGATGGCTAATCGTATAAAATGCAAAACGAAAAAAGCTTAGCCGCATTATTTACTCTCATATTTGTAGTCTCATGTGAGACAAATTCTAAATAAAGATTGTAAATATAGCCTTTGACAGTTTCTTAATCGACGAAACTAAGTGTAGCTAAGTTGCTAAGTGTAATGCTGCAAAACGCTTCTTTACCTAATTGCTTTACCCAAGTGCTTTCAGCTAACTCCAAGTCCACACTCGCCGCGCAGTGTGCGAACGATAAGCACGTCTCGTTCGTTCAGGGTATGGATATGCATTTGTCGTTGTATATATCGTTAATTGTCAAGTATAATTATACGAGATCCGATGAAAAAATGTAGCAAAAATGGCTGGAAAAAAAAAAACAAAGCAGCCCAGCTTTTGAGCTTCAATCTCTTTCAAAATAGTGCTTTTTGATCAGACTTGGTACGCAAGAATACTTCATAAGTAACGATGTACTTCCACAATACAGAAGTACCAAGCGGCGCACCGGAACCTCCACTGTTCACCGAGCGCTTCCAAGAGGTGATCGTGCCGGAAAAGGGTACTTTCAAGTTAGCCGCCAAAGTCACTGGAAATCCCGTCCCGGAAGTAACGTGGCTCAGGAACAACAAGCCGCTTGAGAAATCGCCGAACATCACGGAGAGTTACGACGGCGAGAATATCTTGCTCGAGATTAAGAACGCGGACTCCGAGACAGATGCCGGCGATTACAAGTGCGTCGCCAGTAATCCAGTCGGCAAAGCTTCCCATGGCGCGAAAGTCACGGTGGACGTTGCCAAGGTCTCGTTCACGAGAAAGTTGCAGAGCGAAATCGTGGTGGACGAGTACAAGACTCTGGAGTTGAATTGCGAGACCTCGCACACCGTATCCACGGTTTGGTGGCACAACGACAAAGAGATCAGCGGGATGGATCATCGCGAGGTGATCCAGGAGGGACGTGTGCACAGATTAGTCATCAAGAAGAGCGGCCTCACCGACGCGGGAACGTACAAGTGCACCGTCAAGAACCAAGTGACGACCAGCGACGTCACGGTCAGAGCCACCAAGCCGGAGTTCGTCAGGAAGCTGCAAGACTTCGAGGTGAAGGAGCGCGACGTAGCGATCCTGGAGGTCGAGATCACGTCGCAAACGGCGGACGTTATATGGCGGAAAGACGGCGAGATACTGACGCCCAGCAAGGGCAAACTGGAATTCGTAAAGGACGGCACCGTCAGGAAACTTCTCATCCGCAGTTCCTCGGTTCACGACGAAGGCGAATATACCTGCGCCTTGCCGGATGAAGAATGCACGGCGGAAGTAACGGTTGTCGAGTTGCCACCGGAGATCATCAGCAAGATGCAGGATGTAACCATAGCCAGAGGCGAGAGAGCCACCTTCGAAATAGAGCTGACGAAGGGTGACGCTCTGGTGCGCTGGTTCAAGGACGGCCAGGAGCTGCAATTCTCCGAGCACGTGCGCCTTTCGATCGACGGCAAGAAACAAAAATTGAAGATCTACGACACGGAAATGGAAGACGCAGGAGTCTATTCTTGCCAAGTCGGCAACCAGACTTCTTCGGCCAGATTAACAGTCGAAGAGCCCGAGGTAGACTTCATTAAAAAACTGCCGGACGTTACTCTAGTGCCTCTCAATACCGACGCGACTTTCCTCATCGAACTGTCGCGCACAGATGTGCCGGTGACGTGGTTGAGGTGAGTTGATCAGGGATTTAGAGTTGATCAGCAGGGAAGAAATATGGATCGTGTGAAATTTACAGGAAAGGCGAGATCATCGATCGCACGCAAACCTCCAAGTACAGCATTATCGACGAGGGCAACATCAAGAAACTTATCGTTAAAAAATGCACAACTGACGACATCGCCGAGTACACTGCCGCAGTCGTCAATGTCAAGACGTCATCCAGATTGAAAGTCGAAAGTAAATTTATCTCATTGTCATTTTAATCCTATTTTTCTCATCTTTAAACCTTTATAAAAAAAAATTTAAATAAGACTTCACATATGGCAAAATCTAACATTTTCTCTTCTAGTTATCGAGACACCACCTAGAATCGATCCTGACACTCCCAGAAAATATAAAACGACGAAGGGCGAAGACATCGATGTCGTTGTGAAATTCACGGCCACTCCAACACCGACCGACGAATGGACGGTGAACGGTCGCGTTGTTAAGAAATCCAAACGAATCGTCACGTCCGTCGATGAATGTTCCGCCGTCTTAACGATCAGAGATGTACAAGAGAAAGATATCGGTGATTATAACCTGAGGTTGACCAATCCCCACGGAGAAGACAGCATAGAAATTAACATCGTCGTCGTGCGTGAGTATTTGTTCATCATACATTGAATATTTGAACGATTCTCGAAAAAGGAACTCGTCTCAATGAAATAATATGGAGAAAATAAGTACACTAACAATTAATACGCGTTGGTTGCAGAGGTACCTGGAGCACCAGGAACTCCTGAACCCCTCGAGATAACCGACAACAGTATCACACTTCATTGGAAGCAACCAGATTCAGACGGACACTCTCCGATTGTGGAATACATTTTGGAATATCGCGAAAAGACGGAATCTTCGTGAGTATAGTTCGAAATTTAACGAACTGTTGTTGACAAAACGAAGAGAAATGAGATCATATATATACTCTCGAAATTTCTTCGAGCAAATTTTCGTTCGTTTCCAGCAAGATTTCACTTCAAGAAATTTGAAGCTCAGCAAACTGTTTGTCTCTTCGGTAAACGAAACAATTATTCGATTTCAAGGTGGGGCAAAATCACGGAGACGATAAACGAGACCACGCACAAGCTGACCAAGTTAACCACCAACAAAGAATACACTTTCCGCGTGACGGCTGTCAATGAAGCTGGACCGGGTGAGGCATCGCCGAATACGCCGTACCTGAAGATCTCTAAACTATTGGCGGCCGAACCACCGACCATCCTTGAAGCGCTTCAAAGCGTCGTGATCGGATTGGGAGAGACTGTCACGCTCTCCTGTGTAATCGGTGGCATACCGGCGCCTCGCATTACATGGTATATTTCTCTTCACCTTTCCTCTTAATTACAGCTAAATGCGCCAACTGTGTGCTCGAGTCGGAAATCTTATTTTTCAGGTTCAAAGACGGTGCGGCCTTCGACGACAGCAGCATCACGTACGAAAATCGTATGGCTAAGTGCGTTATTCAACGTACCACAGAAACGTCTTCGGCCACGTTCACGGTTAAGGCCCACAATGACGCGGGAACGGCGGAAACGTCGTGTCAGCTGAAAGTTCAGGAATCGCCGAAGATCACCTGTGACGAAAGCCTGACTAACCAGAGACTACCGGTGGCCGACAAGTGGAAGATCGAGATCCGCTTCAGCGGTTTCCCAAGACCTGAGGTGAAATGGACGAAAAACAACAAAAAGATCACCGACAAACGCATTTCCGTGGAAACGAGGGAGGACACGTCCGTCATTTCGATATCTTCGCTCGTGAGAGACGATACCGCCAGTTATACTGCAAGAGCAACGAACGAGGCTGGTAGTTCGTCGATAGAATGTCATCTCAAAGTCATAGGTGGGTAAAAGAAATCGAACGCATCGGAATAGATTTGATATTATATTTAATGATACGTTGCAGACAAGCCGAGCAAACCTCAGGGACCGGTTGTCGCGAAGGAGATTAGGCAAGATCGCGTCACTATTGAATGGGGACCGCCGGTCGATGATGGCGGCGTGGAACTGGAGAGATACACCATTGAGAAATGTGAAGTTAGCAAACAGATCTGGACGAAAGTGGGCGACGTCGACAAAGAAGTTGAGAGTTTCTGCGCGCAGAAATTGCAGCAGGACGTCGATTACATGTTCAGAATAGTAGCTACGAACACTGTTGGTCCGTCGGATCCTTTGGAATCCGAGCCGATCAGGACACGAACTTCGTTCGGTAAGGACAGACGGTTAAATCAAAAAACAATGAATTCGATTCGAAGGAATAATCGAATTTCGTTCGACAGAACCACCGGGCCCGCCAAGAGGACCTCTCGAAGTCTCCGGAATGACGAAGACGTCGTTCACGATCAAATGGGAGCCTCCAGAGAACGACGGCGGTACTCCCATCACAGATTACATCATCGAGACAAAGGAGACGTCGAAGAAAGCTTGGCGACGAGTTAGTACAATTTTTCATGTAGAAAATTAGCACGGATTTTTTCAAAAGAAATCCGGATGATGAATTTTCATTTGGAAAATCATAACGACGATGTTCCTATTGCGATGCTTTTTCAGATCGCCATTACGAAAGGAGACGTCACCAATACCACCGTGTCCGACCTGAAAACGGATGTGTCGTACAATTTCCGAATAACGGCTAAGAACAGCGTCGGTACCGGTCCTCCGTACACAGCGGAAGAAGCAATCACGGCGGGAAAACGACCGAGTAAGTTGACGCTCTTTCGAATATTTTTATTACTTCTAGATATTTTTGCCGATTTTTCTGACTTACCGATCAGTCATCGCAATATCGCTTAAACGCATTAACGCTTTCGCTTTTGCCCAGTGATAATAAAGCTTACAGAAAGCAGCATGTACGCGCTACTAGGCATATTTCCACCGACGAAAATGGTCGTGATCAAAAGTAAGTCTCGCATATTCACCTTGTGACCCGCACTTTGCGCCTTTCGGTAGTTACGAAAGATAACTGCACGGAAAGAAGACTCAGTTCCTAGTTAATTAAATAAGGACCGGATGAAAACTCGTTGACAAGAAACGATATCTCTGTTACCGCGACTGAGAATATTCATATGAACATTCAGCTGCATTAAAACTCGGTTGAAACAACTGAGAAGGATTGACTGGGCAGAAACCTCCCACAGGAATCTTCCTGTGCCTACAATCGAGTTTTCATCTGATTTTCAGACAACAAAAAATTCAGTTACGCCAATGGAATGATTTTTTCTGTGTGATAATCGCAACAAAGAAAACATACGCATTGCGAATCGTAACTTGAATTTTCTTCAGCGCCACCTTCGTGTCCACTAAATGTGCGAGCGACGAACGTCACGAGCAAGAGTGTCACTCTAAGTTGGTCACCGCCAGCCAGCACAGGAGGATCAGAATTGATAGGTGGGTACGACATATAGCTAATACGAGGGATTCTTTATTCAAAGCGATTATTATTAATTTCAACCTTCTCGCCGCTGCTGCAGGCTACGTGATCGAGAAGAGGCCGTTAATCGGAAAAGGCGCCAGATGGACGAAAATTGTAACTTTGGATGCAACAACGCATCAATACTGCGTAGAGAACTTGAAGGAGAGCGAGTTCCTTTTCAGAATTTTCGCGGAGAACAGCGTAGGACTTAGCACACCGACCAATAGCGAACCGGTCACGCTGAAGACTCACGCCAGTAAGTTTAATTTACGATATAAGCAACTACGATAAATGACAACACGATCGTAAACAATTTACTAACAACTGAATCGTTTTTAGACGTTCCATCTCCACCTACTGCCCCGTTAGAGATGAGGCAAATCGCAGCGAACACGATGATCATCGAATGGGGCAGACCTGAGTCGGACGGCGGCGCGCCTTTGGAAGGTTATAAAATCGCCATCAGAGACGCGAAGAAGACCATGTGGATGGAAGTGGGAAGAGTGGGCGCAGATATTCAGAAGCTGATGATTAGAGACTTGCAAGAGAATCACGAGTACCTCGTGAGGATCTTCGCACGAAACGAGATCGGATTCAGCGATCATTTGGAGTCGGAAGAACCCTTTAAGATCGTGCCGACTTCAGGTAAGATTTGTCACTGTTTATTGTTCGAATTCGCATTAATAAAAATAGTAAAATTCTCTGAGTAATTCAAAGATCATTTTTCCTCAATGAAATCGCTCGAAGAATGTCAGAGAATCTCTAAAGTTAATAATCGTAAAACACTCCATATATATATACTATATATATTAATAATATATATAATAATGAAATAATAATAAAATATATACCAACACACAATATAATTTTTACCATATATAGTCGTTTATCATAAATCTCTATGATATATATTTATTGATTATATAGAATTGTCGTTCGTGGAACCAGTCGCAGAAGCTATGGACAAAGGAGAGACCCCGTCGATCAGCTTCAGCACGGAAAATACGAGCTCATGGTTGCGGGAGCATAACATGGATGCCGACATACATTCGTACGCGAGAGCGAGATTACTCCGAAAAGACGAGTACTTCTTCCGCATTTGGCACTACGCTAAACAGCTGTTCGAATAAGCATTTGTATAAATCTCTTTTTCTTTTCTGAGCATTCGCAACGCGATCTACTGCTAAGCGGATACAAATGATCCCTTCCGCATTTTTCCAATTTCGACTTTCCTTATCATACTATTTCTGTCGTGAACTTACATACGCCTGACTGATAGCACAACGTCGAAAGTGCCATTATGTTTTTTTTTTCCCGTAGAAGCACAAGTTAGCGATCGTTAGATACGACGAAACTGAAACTCGTAAGACTGGACGAGTGCTTATCGAGTGCTAATCTAGTCAGCACAGAATGATCAGAGTGATCTTTTTTTCTTTGCCGTTAAAACGCTCAGATAAACTCACCGGTATGTCTGTCACACGGGGGCGACGTCACCTTTTATTCCAGTTTCGTCGCTCCGATACGATTCTACCGTTACGCTCGTGCAGTTCCAGAGATATTCGTAGTAAAGGTTCGATTCGCGACTAGTGGCGGACGACGAAGCGTTAAGTATCTCCCTGTAATAATCAGAATGATAAAAACCGTGGCATTCTACACTACTAACGATGTATTTATAATTACGCGACTACGTAACGTTCGTTATTACTTGTAAGGCAAAGCTTGCGATGGTTACTTTAGTATTTATTCTCCACGCATATAATGTATATTGACTGTTTCTCGCGTTATGATTACATTTAGTTGTTAATTCTTACGTATAATAATAATTAATATCGTCGATAAGATTGATGCACTAAAGGATAACGAAGCGAAGAAATACCACGCGTATTTGGTGAACGAGACGTAAAATATAGGTGCAATAACATCATTTTAACGAAACCAACGCCGCGTCGTATACTTCGCGTTATCCATGTTGTAAAATATTTTATCAAATAAATTATTGCAAATTATGCGTGTTTCTTGACGCATAAATCATCGCTTATTTTCTGTTCCTTCAAAATCGCTCTTTATGCTCATTAAAAGCAGGAAAATAGCACTTTGCATCATAAATCCGAGCTAAAGTTTCTCTCATTTTTAACATAGATTAAAATGATGCACGCTTTATCGCAAATGTGAAAATCGACCGCATTTATATGATTGTGCTAGCTAATTCAGCTTTCACATAAGAACGATTTCACATTCATCGAAAGCGCGGTAATTTACCCTTTACAACGGTTTTTGTTTCACGACACTACTACGTCTAGAAGTCGAAATATCGATGTTGCATCGTTCGACGCTCTCGAGCCTACCTAGTGCTGGCGCAAGTCACGTGCGATGCGTAGGTGCGTAAGAATAGTCGCATTCCGCAAACGCTTTTCTAGGAAGACGCGCGTACGTGATGGTACGTGACCTTGCCCCCACTTCGCGGTTCAAACAAGCCAGCTGCACTTGCCACGTCGTCCATTCAAGCAACATGAAAACAAACATGGTCGGCGTGAGAACGTGTCGCCAGCGTAGCACTAGCAGCGACATCTGTCGTCGACTTTTCCCGCCACTTTTACTAGCAGCCTTCCTTTACCTCGCGCAATCAATTGCGAATATACATTCAAATCCGCATTTTGTATACTCTTCGATTTTTCGACCTCATCCCTTATCTCTCAAAGAGAATTATGACGCGTCAAATATCCCATATAGCATAAACCTACAAGAGACATCCTAAAGACATCCTAAGGACATTCCCAGAACATTCTTCTCGGATAAAATGTGCTGTATCGGTATTTTTCGCTTAAAATTTATTTTTTACTTTTGTGCATTTCTGTGATTTACAGAATGTTTATCATTCGATTGTTAAACATGCAACCTCTTTGTGTACAAACCATATCTGTTTTTCAAATAAATATGTGCCATGTAAGCAAATAAGAGAATATTTACTTAATAATAAGATAATTAACATATGTTTACCGATACAATTGATGATGAAGCGATAACACCAATTGAAATTGTCCATTCTTTTCTGATAAATCTTGTAGATTTTCTTGAGTTAACACGGACGCGCGCGAAGCAACTTAATCGATGCCATTAAAATACGAATATAACTGAAATATCTCTCTCAGATGGCGCTCTAGAAGCTGTTATGACATGGCCGCTTTCAAATTTCGGGTCTCTGATGACCCGTTATTTTTGGCTGCGTTCCAATATTCACTCACAGTGCTGGAAATCTATAGTATACCTAACATGAACTATAGGTTTTTCATAATCTATTAACTCTTTTTCTTCTGCGAATTAATAAAATTTTCGAACGCTCTGAAAAGTCAAAAGAGGACAATCGATAAGATATCGATCCGATTCTCGCAAATCGATGGTTACCGACACGCACAGTATCGATCTCTAGAAACGATTCATCGAAAGAAGCGCTAAGCAAGCAAAATGGCGTCTTACTAAGAGATTCGTGTATTCGTACATTCTTTGCAAATGGTCAAACGTTGTCATCATTGTAATTGTTAGAATCGCTTAGTGTAGTGATTTTATGTTACATCTATTAATTATTTACCGAATTTCATCATGGGGTAAGTGCATCGTGTGTGAAATGACGAGCCGATATTATGTGACATCAACAGAGAAGAGAGCCACCATACCTCGATTTTGTTGAGATAATAGAAGTTTTATATTTCCTGATTCACCTCGGAAAATAATTTTGCGAAAATATTTCTTTTAATGTTGAATGTAGTGCGTATGCTGAATTCGCCAATCGTGGCCTTCCAAATCTTTTCCACTTCATACGTCTTCATGTTTCAGAACAAATGTATATTCAGGGGCTACCTTAAGAGCACCATTTTATGTACTGAATCCTATCAAAGCCTATCATAAGTCCATGTTAATATATCACATAAGCTCTTTCTATCTTTATTATTGTTTTATGAATATGCAGTTGATGTTGATATTGTTCTGCAATACATGTAGATAAACAATATGTTACAAAAGATGGGGCTTTTCACTTAAAAAATTTGACAGTTTGTCAAATACAAAGATATAAAAGTCAAAGAATTTATAAACTTTAATCGATAATTTTACAAACTATAACTTAAACAAACTATCATATTCTTTATCATAAACTTGATAATAAGTATCTTATATTTACAATAAACAGTTCCTTTATATATTGCATAATGTATATTTTAGTGCGTCAGATTTAGAAGGTCCTGAATTTAAGGGAGAACACTTAGGAATAGATTCAGATACGGATGGTTTAATTGATCAAAGAAAGAAGAAGAAGAGGAAACATAAACATCATAAGCATAAAAAAGATAAATTAATTGAACGGGAAGATGAACGAAGAGAGGACAGACAGGAAAGGTACAGTTGTACATTAAATGGATGTTTCATAAGAACAAATTAATTAAAAAACTATTTCATATTTGTCTTCCTGTATAGACGGAAACATAAGAAACATAAGAGACAAAAAAGAGAGAGGGATATAGAGAATGGTACTGTAGATGAGAAATTAATTTCCAATGTGGTACATAAAGAAGTTGGTATGAATGGGAAAGCAAAGAACTCTGTATTAGAAGTTCTTTCTACAGAAGAAAGCGAAGATGAAAAACTAGTTGATTTAGATTCAGATGAAGTGGATTGTACAATCATAGAAGACGATATCGACCTCGAAGAGTTAATGAAACAAAAGGTATATATGTATTCGTAATCAGTTAAGATATAGCATATGTATATTATATTACGATGAATCTGTATAATGTATTATATATTTGGTTTGTCATAATTGCATTGTATATGTAGGAACGGTTGCAAGCATGTTTAGCAAACGTGCAATATCTGTCGGATGAATCCGAAAAAGCAGACGATAAGGTTTCTCCGCGAGAAGAAGAGGAAACGAAGACAGCGACAGAGACACCCGATATAATACTGGTAGAAGACGATAGTGATACCAATGATGCACCACCGAAGAAACGAGCTAGAAGCAAATCAGGCAGTAGAGAATGTAAGAAAGTGATAAAGGCCGAAAGACGTGTTGTAGTTGATATGACTAGAGACAGGAAAATTCGCGAGCAACATAAAGATAAGAGGAGAGATTTTGATAGGAAAAGAGACGACAAAGTCCGTCCTAGGGAGGAAGGAAAAAGAGAGGAAACACGGAAAGATGATAGATCTTCACGAAGAACTAATGAGAGGCAGAAAGAAGATCCGAGAAAGGAGGAATCTAATAGAAAACCGGACGAAGACCAGCAGAAACGTAAAGATGTCTCAAAACGAGACGAGAGTCGTAAAAGGGAATCTGATAGACGGTAAGTACTGAAAACCAATTGTTCATCTAGTATTAGTAATGATCGATCAAAGTTATTACTGAATTAACTATTTATGTATACAGTGAAGAGAGTCGAAGGCGGGAACCTGTCCGTCATAGTTCAAAAACTCGCAATAATGAGGCGAAAAGCTCGGATAACAAGAGTCGTGACAGATTGGAAAGTCGTGAGCGTCAAGATAGTCGAGATCGGCACATTAGTCACGATCGACGTAGTCGTGATAGGCCATCGAGCAGGGAACCACGTCGGCAGGCTAGTCGCGATAAGAGAGATAGTAGGAGTAAAGATCGACATGGTAATCGAGACAAACATGACAATAGCCGCGACCGACGAGACGGCCGGTATCACGACCATCGAGTCGGCGATCGGTCACGTAGCACCGTCAGGAGATCTCGCAGTCCTACTCGAACCAGATCGGAAAGGGAAAGGAATGATCGGTACAGAAGATCCAGATCACTTTCTCGGAGTCGCAGAGATAGAGATAAACAGCAAATCAGGGACCACGGTAGAGATCGCGAGAGAGATAGAGAAAAGAATAACAAAAGGGAACGCAACGATAAATATAAGGATTCTTTGTCGGAAGGTCTCAAGATAGAACATTCGGAGAGCTCGAGCGAAGAGGAAATCAAGGACATTGACATAGAGGAGGAAGAGGATGAAGAAGCAATCATAGAACGTCGACGGAAACAAAGAGAAGAATTGCTCAAGGTGAAATTCGTCACATATTACATTATATCGTATCGGTTACAAAATTTGATTCATTTCAGTCAAATTTGATCGTACAGCTCATACAGCTCCTTCATAAAAAAAAACAGCTGGTTTACTGTCACAAAATTATTAAAAGTTAAACATTTTAACTCAACATATGCGTATATTATTTCGTTGTGGTCGCGATGATGAAATGTATTAATTTTTTCTCATCTACAGAGACTGGGTGGACCAAACGAAGACTCTAATATGTCTGCTGACGTAAATCTCGTCACTGGTTCTCCGGAAAGTCATTCTAATATATCACAAAAGTCTGTAGAAGTTCCATCCAACAATAATGAATCCGTTTCGGAGAGTCATACCCCACCACTGCCCACAGAAAAACTGGAGTCTCCGCAATCATCGATCAAGCGTAAATCTAGATTCGAGGATGCGCCGCCTAACGAATCTGAGAAGGCCGTGAACAAAACGTCCGAAAGGCTTAAGCAAGAGGAGAAGCAGAATTCAAAGAAATCCAATGAATGGGACATGTTCGCGGAGGCGGATAATATAGGCGATTTTAATGTATGTTCCATTTATATTTTTGTTCAAATCTAACGCATTCCTCACTGCCTCTAACTATGAGATTCATTTTTTCAATGTATCATCATGTAGAGCCCGACGGTCGAAGGAAAACGTCAAGGAGGACCGGACAATCCTAGTTTAACAGATAATTGGGATGACGCCGAAGGATATTACCGGTTAGTTTTAATTTCGTTTTAGTCCGTTGGTTTAATTCGCAAGCTAACGATAGTGCAATAATTTGTCAGCGTACGCGTTGGCGAAACACTCGATACACGATATGTGGTCTATGGATACACGGGACAAGGAGTATTCAGTAACGTTGTAAGAGCGAGAGACAGCGCCCGAGGGAATCTGGACGTAGCTGTGAAAATCATCAGGAACAATGAAATAATGTGAGCGCAACCGTCTAAACACCCACGATCAATCACGATATTAATACGGTTATTTCGTGTACTTTTGCAGGCATAGAACAGGTCTGAAAGAACTAGAGATTCTTAGGAAATTGAATGACGCAGATCCAGAGGATAGGTTTCACTGTCTGCGTCTTTTTAGGCACTTCTTTCATAAAAATCATTTGTGCATGGTTTTTGAACCTTTAGCAATGAATTTAAGAGAGGTACGTGTCTATGTAAGAAGATATTGTCCCACAGTGCATTTATGAAAGTGTTTTATGACGAAGAAACTACTACGTAGTAATACAATCGTGTTTGTTGCAGGTTTTAAAAAAGTATGGCAAAGACGTTGGTTTACACGTTAAAGCGGTAAGGTCGTATACGCAGCAACTTTTTCTAGCGCTAAAGTTATTAAAACGTGCAAATATTCTGCATGCTGACATCAAACCGGATAATATTCTAGTCAGTGAAAGCAAGCTAGTGTTGAAACTCTGTGATTTTGGCTCCGCATCGCACGCCCACGAAAATGAAATCACGCCGTACTTAGTCTCGAGATTTTATCGAGCGCCCGAAATCAGTAAGTATTCACTTTGATACGTCGTAATCTTATTCTGATCGAAATCCGCTTCTCTCTCTCTTTCTCCGCATAGCCCCTTTAATATGTAATTTATGGCTCATTCTGCTTCGTGCGTCCGGGAACGTACGTCACGTATCGTCATTAACATTCTCAATAATTGCAAACGAGAATGCTCGACACCAGTTGTGTTGCGCATGCATATGTTCGCATTGTGTCTGTTTTATATGTCGCAATATATCTGACAGGCGTTTCTAGCAAACCACATACACCGATTTTGCGAGTATTAGCTCGCAGCGTCTTCGTTTCGCGCTATACTTAGAACAGAAATGGATAGTTACTGTCGTAACAATATGCGTGTGCGCGCTCGACCACAGCGCGTGTTTGTTGTTCCATAACAGATTTGATTGATCAAACATACTAGATATATACGTACATGTATATATATACATATATACACACATTGTTTTGTATGAAAACGCAGCGATATGTACGTTAATGGAAAGTAATTTAATTGCGTCATGCGCTTAAATGAGTCGACTCGAACGTTTCCGACGTTGAAAAAAATGGTAGCAATTGTTATGTTGAATGTCTCGAGCCGAAAATAACGTCGTTATTTTCTAGTTCTTGGTATACCCTATGATTTTGGCATTGACATGTGGTCCGTGGGGTGCACCATATACGAACTATACACGGGAAAAATAATGTTTTCGGGGAAAACGAACAACCAAATGTTAAAGTACTTCATGGACCTAAAGGGCAAAATGCCGAACAAGCTAATTAGGAAAGGCACGTTCAAGGATCTGCATTTTGACACTAACTGCAATTTCCTGTATCACGAAGTTGATAAAGTTACGGAACGGGTAAGTCGTTTACTTTACAATTTTATCCGTGATCTTGCCCTGCACCGCATCGCGCGTAAGTAACGCTTCTTTTCCGCGCGCCGCGGTACGCGCGATATCGCGATCGGCATCATTTTGCAACAGCATCGTCTTTTGCTGAGTTGTCTCTCGTTATTCTCCTTGTTCACGCGCGTAATCGTCCCACAGAATTCTGCCTCACGTGAAGCATGGTGTGATTTTTAGGAAAAAGTCGTCGTAATGTCGACACTGCCAGCGACTCGCGACCTTAACGCCGAACTCGGTGGGAACTCTCTACCGCCGGAGCAAAGCCGCAAAGTTGGACAGTTGAAGGATCTGTTGGAACGCACGCTAATGCTGGACGCGGGGAAAAGAATCACTGTGAATCACGCTCTGGCGCATCCCTTTATACAAGAAAAGATATAGGTAACCCTGCCTGGGGTCCTTTAGCATCGAAGAATTCACTGACATAACTTTGTAAAGTGATGACGTTAACGATCCTCCCTGATGAATGTGTTAAACGTTCCAGATTACTCGGTAGGAGCGCGGTTGTCTTTCTCTCTTCCCCTCCCCTCCCTCCTTCTCTCTCTCTCTCTCTCTCTCTCTCTCTCTCTCTCTCTCTCTCTCTCTTTCTCTCTCTCTCTCTATTTATCTCTTTCTTCTATTTTCGTCCTCAGCCTTCCCCTCTTACCTAAATACTTTCATTTTTACACATAGAATACCTATGTTCATTTTCGCAGGAAGAGGCGGTGCAAAATTACAAAATCATCCCGTGTGATGTGTAAGAAGTGTAATAAGAGAAAACGCGTAGTTCTAAATATAATCACATGATATACATTACATAATATACAATTGAGTTGCTCGAAACGTTGTACTCCATCCAATCCGGAAACGTCGCTCATTTGTGACTATTGTCAGATTGATAGAGTGTAATATTTTTATACTCGTATAACAATGATATAAATATAAATATATAGTGAGAATATATAACAGATGTGAAAATGAATGATTATATAAATGATGTCTCTGTATAGACTAGTCTATTGTTGCGATCTGGAAGTATTTCATTTTATTAATCATTCTTTCTCGATATAGAGTATAACGATTCGATCTAAGGAATGTGTCTTGCCGTTTAAAAACGAGGTTTTAAACGGGAATTGAGCTGTCGGTTTTCCCTTGGTTGTGCTTTCGCGTGCAAAACGAGGACAAAATGATAAAGTCGCGACGACCGCCTCTTTCGGCACAAACTGGCACCGAGTATCGGGAAACTTAATATAACGATGGTACGTAGCGGTTCCCTTTTTTCGATTCATACGACTTGGAGAGCACGACGTCCTTACAAATATCACCCTTCATGAAATGATTATAGATCACGCGCTCGTGTGAAATTGTATGTTACACGAAGAAGGTTTGATACCTATAAAGAACTGTATAAGGCTCTTCGGATCACCTACACTGCTCGATCCGTTTTAGAGTATCTCATCGGCGACATACGTGCACACACAACATTTTAGAAGCCTTAGTGGCAAGGAGACTTGCTCTAATTTGGAATATAAGCAAATTGTATAGTGAACAGGTCAGCTAATGAAATAAAACGACACATGCTTAATACAATGAGAAGGAAATCCTGCATTTTGTCTTTTCAGTCTTAAATCACGAGTGAATACGTCCGAATATGTATATTTCTTACAGACGTATTTCTCTTTCTCTCTCTCTTCACACTTTCTCTCTTCTTCTCTCCGCTTCTAACGTCTCTGTTTCTTTATGTCTGTTTTGAAATTTAAGAAGGATTCTCCAGAGATAGACGCGTTTATGAAATCCCATTTTATATAGCGATAATATAGTATGGCAAATATATAATATATATATACATATATATATATATATATATATTTAGAGCGTGCATACGTTTCTCGACCGACGATGTGTTTTATTAATATCTATTAATATATCAATATATATACATAATATATATATTGTGAACACACACACACACACACACACACACACACACACACACACGCATACACACACACGCACACCGTGGTCGTACATGCGATGATCGAGAGGAACGTTTGTCCAACGTTTCGATTACTATATATGTAACAATACGTATTTGAATACTAAATAGAGGTGAAAGTGTATATACATATTCGCACTGCGACACAAAGTTTTCAAATAAAAGCGACGTTAAAGTGCTACGTGCAAGATAATAAGAAATTATCGTAAAAGATAGTGTAGTAGAGCAATTTTGCTTCAAGTGAGAGTCATCGTCATTGCAGGTGTGACATTGATAATCATTGATAGCGCCCATTTCTTACATTCGTTATGGTCGTCAATTTCTAAAATGAAGAGTTTTGTAACTTGATATTTGAACCGAATATATGTCGGTGCTATTATGAATGGTTCACGACACGAACGTTAAACGTGACAAGATTGTACGAGACTGCTTATGTTTCAGATGAGTCTTCGATTCAAATCATCGTTAAGTGCGGCCGGACCTTTCGAGGGCCTTTAGCGCCGATCCCGTTACAAGGTATTCATGGGGGATTGCCTTATGGGATACTTAGCACATCCGCTTCTCAGTACATTTTACTTGTTTACTATAGTTTAATAACAAGATGTTAAACCGTACGAGATAGTAATTCGAATACGCTTCTACGTAACTTGAGTGTGTGTTAAAAAAAAAAAGAGAAAATTTTTCGCTGAGAATTTTCTGTTCGAGAAAAAAGTAGAATAGAATTTTCGTTCGAGTTCTCGACAGTTCTGATTCAGTATTCGAATATTTGCGAGATTGTTTCTGTAAAGGCAACTTGAAAATTAAAACATGACGAATAGACGATAAACGACATTACCACGCGGTACCAAGCGTTTTAGTATTTTTGTTCAACGAAAGGGAGAATATAGCGAGATATTGATAAGATAAAGTTGACATGTGAACAGGAAAAAAATATATATGTTTCTCGGGAACATTTCAATACAGAAGTAAAAGTATACTATGAAACTACGATTAATATGTGCTTTTCTAATTGGCAATTTGGTAATGTTTCACTTGTAGCCCTCCCTGTGAGGAGGGGAGGCAATGGAAGAGGTGATGAAAACAATTGATGAGGAGGAAAGGAAAATATGCGATAGACTAGCGCCTACATCGTGTCAACTGCATAAAAATACATGCACTGTCGCTAAACAGTACTACAAGGTTTATACGACGGTTAACTAGATTTATATCCGCGCGCTAAGGTTTGTCTTAAAGTTACTTGAGATCGCAGTCGAGGATTCGTAAGTATGTATGCAGGTAAAGTACATGATTACAAAAATTTCAAATGCTGCTATTATAAGTGCAATTGACACTTGTACCTCTATTTTTTCAAATCGTCTTACTTAGAAACTAAGTTTTAGATAACGGAAATATAGTAACACTAATATTTGCGGTTTTGAGTTTTCAGATTTTTAAAGACTACGCTCTATGAAAACGAAAAGCAGATGCGATAATACGATTATGCTCGAAAAAAACTTTTTCTATCTGTCCATCTATCTATATATCTTTCTTTTCATTCCTCTCTCTTATCTCTCCCTTTCAGAACAATTCCTGGAAAACATGTAGAAATAAAATTTAATGTGAATATATAAAATGTGAATAAAATTTATTAAAATTATAAAAAGACCTATATATATATATATATACATATACATATACATATATATATATATACACACACACTCATTTCTTTAAAGTAGGAATATTTCTTTCTTGACTTGGAAAGAGTATGTCTTAAGTAAAATATAATCTGAAATATAAGAAATACTAAGTACATAGCGATTTATTAACATTACATAAAATAGGATGCGTTCAGTTTAGATATTAGCGCATATATCCTTGGAATTATTCGTAAAAATCAATTTGGTTCTCCCTTTAGTTGTATATAATATTTATATGCACCATACAACTGATAAGTGCGACACCATATTTAAACTTCATTGAGATCGATAAATTATTTTTATATAATTAATAAATAATTCAGTTTTGTAAACGATTCTTATATCTAGTTGACCGTTTACATGAATAAATACACGAATACTGACATACAACGTTAGCTTTAAATATAAGTAAATAATTTTGTTGCTTTATTATCTTTTCTCTTATTCTAAAAGACTCAAATGTTTTAAAGACAGTCAAGATTTCGCCAATAATTTCTAAATAAAATTGTACGTGACTCTATATATTTTACAGTATATGTAACTTCGATTTAAGTTTCTTACTTTAAAATGATAATATTTACGATATATTGATTATCTAATTTGACACTCATGTGAAACGTAAGTTTTCATCTTCCGTACGAAACTTTCAGGCTTTTCAGTCCCGCGTCGGATAATATTGAATTAGTACTTGGGAGAGTTGTTGAGCTAATTCTATCGACGATGCGCACAGCGTTCTTCTGCTCATTACATCAAACGGACCTCCTGTCGGACGTAAGAATACAACATTAATTCTCTCTGGTCCAGTTCGTCACGCAACTACAATTTGTGCGTAATTTCTTGCAATTATTTACCAGCTGGATCTATCGACACACCGCCAGCTTCTCGCACTATAAGATCCCCCGCTGCGATGTCCCACGCATGTATGCCAAACTCGAAGGAGATGTCGGCGCCACCGAGAGCCACCATGCACATATTCAAGGCCGCCGAACCGAGCGCTCGTATTCTGCGTATAGATCGATTTCCTCGTTAAGCCACCCGTTGCGAAAACGTAACTCGCGAAACGAGACTTACCCGTGAACACGTGAAGTAAGAAGTGTTATATTTTCCAAAACTATTTTCATTTTCTCCGGGTCTCTGCTCGTTCCCATCTCTACCATCAATAGTGCCTTGCGCAGTTCTAGGATAACGATATTATATATTGTATAAAACGGCGATTAAGAGGGAAAAATTATTGAGTAGTTGACATTTTTAATTAACACTTTGACGGCTGCAATTATCACGGAAATTTGCTTACCAACCTGTTTACGATGTTGAATTAAAGTCCAAACGAGCTCTCAATTGCATCGCTTAGACCGTATCTGGAGAGGCAAACATCGTCATATATAAATCTATAAATCTATTTTTATACACTTTCTATAATATCACGATTATAAACTGTTATCGTCGAGGTTGAATGATAACTAGTTAAACAGTTAAAAATTAAATTAAAAAGTTAATAACTTTTAACTTAACTGGTTCGTATTTTAAATGAGTTAACTTTTAACTAAGTTAATTTTATAGGTTGCATTAACTTTTAATTTAAGGTTAAAAATAGAAATTAATTTTCCGACCCTGATTATTGTCGACAAATATTTCTTTACAAGATAATGACCGCTGATAGGATAAAATCATACATATGTAATAGCAGGCGGCAAAGTGTTAAAATAACGGCCTATGGCCGTTATCGGTGTTTTCTAATATTTGCTAACATTTCATTAGAAATAGAGAGCAAATTACCTTTTTCGCCGGATACGCGAATCGGAGCGCCGTTAAGAAAAGCGCCCTGGCCTTTACGGGCGGTGAAAAGCTGCTCCAAAATCGGATTATACACTATTCCTATCTCCGCCGTTTTATTAATGAGCAATGCGATCGATATGCATGTGTGTGGTAAGCCGTGAACGAAATTCATCGTACCATCGATCGGGTCGATTACCCATGTTGGCGCATCCGTTAGCGTGATCTTCTGACCCGAAGCAGCCGACTCTTCGCCGATAAATCTGTAATATATTTTCTCAATGTAAATATTAAAACGTTGTTAGATAAAGAGAGAGGGGAATTTGACGATTGAACAAAACGGTGGAAACAAGATAAGGTGAATTTATTGCGAGTATTATACGCGAATAACATATTAAATGATATTCAATTAAACTTACTCGTGCTCGGGATATCTCGTCGTTATTTCGTCGATTAAAAATCTCTCTACCTCTTGATCCCATTGTGTAACTAAGTCAACGTCGCACGACTTCGTGAGCACGTCTTTACGTTGGTTGATTTTTTCCCTGATGATCTGCAAGCACACGAAGAACGTGTAGAACTCGGTTATTTGAATTTTCTTAGAGATAATGATACCAAAATGATATGCCGAGCATAGAAACATATCGTCGCTGTATTACGCTTGCGAGGGGAAGAAACACAACGAACACCGACTTGGAGATCACGCTTTTCTTCTTTCTCATTTGAATTCCCGCAGTATTACTCGGCATTGTACGAATTACGCGCGCAGCCGCAGTCTTCCGTTCGACAGACCGTGATTGAGACGAGCACGCGGTGTCTTACAGGGATATCAAAATCCAGAATATCATCATATATATTATTCATAATCTATCCTGAACGATTGGCATCCGTCAGCTCGCATTACACAAATCGTATGGCGTGTGCAATGACACGCGACTAGAAGATGTACATCGCGGCGATGCGCGTAAAATCGATGAAGAACCCTGTCGACACAGGCGCATCGCGTCCACCGAAGGGAGGACAAGAGGAAAACGCAATTCGTTCGGACGATTGTCTCACCGAGCCAGCCTGTTTCACGAGCCGCAAAACTTCGACGTAACACTCGTCGACGTTCAGCATGATTGATCGAGCCGCGAAGTCGCTTTCTCGTCAAATGAGCGACGCGTCCTGTCCGTCGTGTGCACGCGCGACAATACACACGCTGTCTCGCTCGCGCGCACAAACTGGCTCTCCTCCGTCTTGCGAGCTCGCTCACACCGACGTTCGACGAAGCGTAAGCGCTCTGCCGCGCTGACGTAATAACGCGTCAAGCTCCGTGGCTTTTAAACGGCTTCGATAGCACGTCACGTAATCACGTGAACCGCGATGATACGGAAGTTTCCGCCGAGTCTCTTTACGCCACATTCGAATCGATTGCCGCGTAGCAAAGAAACTGAGAATGACAGACGCTAAGGCGATAAGAAACTCCGCTAAAAATATCGACTGCTTCCGCGGTAACGGAGAAGAATGGAGGGGGGGTGGGGG